TTCCCTTTTAGTTCTAAGAGGGGTTTTGTGTGTGTGTATCACCCTCTTTCTTTTAACTTATTTGTGCTTTATATTTAAAAAGTTCTTTTTTCTAGACTCAACTGTAGTTGAGTCTTGCCATTCTATAGTATTTTATTATTTTTCTTTTACACTACACATTAATACATGTGATATGGGGGGGTAGATGGAAAGGGATATGTTTTAATTTTTTTAAAGCCATTCAAGACTTCTAGGAAGATGAAATCAATTTACGTTTCCCTAACTCTACGTCTAAATACTAAAAACCCTGGATATTATGTATAAAACAAATTTGAGAAGACGCTAAAAGGTGAAGACAAGAAGGCAGACTGGCTGGCCATCTCAGGACCTAAAGCAAAAACATTGATGAGTCCTCTTGTTTTTTATTTTGTTTTGTTTTTGCCTCATACATCCCAGAATGGGTGCTGGAGAAGCTGGCAATCTGGAATTGCTAATGGGCACAGGAAAAAAAACAAACCAACCCCAAATTCTGCTCTCTCTAGCTAAGTAATCAGGAAAGAAGCAACCTAGCAAGACAAAGTTTTTAGGAAATAATCACTCTACAGCAACCAAACACGACAGAAAAAAACTGTGGGCCCACCACATCCACACCAGCAAATGCCAGGTGGGGAGCCCAGACTCTCACCCTTGCCAGGCTGTAAGGAGGTACCTCAACCACCTTGATGAGTGTTAGGCAGGATATACTAAGCTGGACTTATGCTAGGACCCAGCATATGCTATAGACCCCGGGTCTTTAATCAACAAAAATGCAAACTTATATTCAGCAAAAGACATGTAAAAGAAAGGCCATGGCACCCTATTCATAATAACATCAAACTGGAAACAACCCAAATGTCCACCAAAATTACAATGGATTTTTTTAGATGTTGGTTTTGTCATTCACTGGAATGCTATACAGCAGGAAAATGAACACACTATGTCTACACACAACTACATAGATGTAGCTCACAAATATAATGTTGAACAAAAGAAGCCGGGCACCCAAAAAGGACTCTGTGATTGAATTATATATAACTTCAAAACAACAAAACGTATCTATAGTGTTAGAATTGATGGTGTTGTTTACCTGTAGGATAGGCTAGGTAGTGACAAGGAGGCAGCATGGAGTCCTAGGAGCTGACATTTTCTATATCTGGATCCTTAGGCGGTGGTAACACAGATGTACATATCTGTAAAAATGAATCCATCTGTGCACATAAATTTGTATACCTATTATGTTATACTTGAGTAAAAATGTTTCAGAGTATCAGGATCTATTAAAATATGCATCTACCCTCACTACAGTCAATAGTATCAGACACAAAAGTGAATAGAATGAAGGAAAGGAGACAAGACTGCAAATATGCATACATTTTAAGTGAACAGGGAGAAATGCCAAAACCAGTGTTTTAAATTTTCTGTTGGGTATAGGAGAGGCGTGAGTGATACATTTCTTTAAATTATGAAGTAATTTTGGGTCCCCTGATATTTGCTGTGAAATGATAGCAAAATAGAAGCATTTACTAAAGTGAGTATAAAATAATGAACATTGTCTATTAGTGCAAAGAAGTCTTTCCAGGGAATTGCGAATTGCCTTTACTGAACAGAAGTGTTGAAAACAGTTTCCGTATAATTATATGAACTACCACATGATCAAAATTCAATATTAACAGGGACAGATTGTGAATCTTTTATTAAAACAGAAAGATTCTTAAAAATTGTTCATTTGTCCCCTTCAAATGGAATCCCATCTGTTTCAAGACTGAATAAATATATCAACACAGCAGTTCATTTCTAGAATGTAGTAAACATTGCAGAATTAGTTTCAAAGCATATGGCAAAGTTTCCCCCACAAACAACTGTATGCCTTAAGGAGAAGACTAGGAATTTTCAAACTGCTGCAAAATATATGTTCTACTTATTTCACTGAATGGAAACCCAACATTCAGCCATTATATCCTCCTCAGCAAGACAACCAACAACTGTGCTTTCATATGAATGTGCTGCATACTTTTATGGAAAATATTCTTTAAATGAAGATATTTAGACACTAGTTTGTTTAAAAGAAAAGAAGGAATGGAAATATTGACTCATCTTCCATTGGAACCTTAGTGTCTCACCAGGGAATGGAGAAAATGTGCTTTGATAATGTATGTACATAGATATCATTCTATGTATCTCTTCTTCTATATAGATATCTATTCTATGTATCTCTTTTCACACACAAAAAAAATGGGCAAATATAATAGAACTGTTTTGTTTTAAGTGAGTTCTTTATATCCATTTAGTACATTTCTATTATTATGGTACAAAAAGGAATATTTATTTGTTCCTTTAAGAATTTATTTATTTGTATATAAAAACTCTGACCTTTAAAAATCCCAGAAAGTGACTTTGGTTCTTTCAGCCAATAAAAGTTTACCATATTTTCAGTGACGTCCTTTGTAGCATTATTGGTAACAGTGAAATACTAGAAAGAGTCTAAATGTCCATCATTAGGAAATCAGTTAAATACATTTTTGTACACCCATACAATGAAAAGTGATACAGCTTTTTAAATGAGTGTGGTAGATCCAAATTAATTTGTATTGAAAAGTCTCCTAGGTTGTTAAATAAAAATGTGTTGCTCTCTCTCTCTCTCTACTATATATGTGTGTGTATGTGTGTGTGTGTGTATCTATCTGAATATGCAAAATATGCAACCAGTCATTATTGCCTCTAGAGATGGCAACTGAGAGCATACTTTACACTATATTTACACATTCATGTTGCTTGACGTTTATCATGAGCATAAATTTTTTTAATTGTGGTATAATTGACATATGAAATTCATTATATTAGTTTTGGGTGTACAGCGTATTGATCCAAATTGTATATGTTGTGAAATGATCACCAGAATAAGTCTAGTTAACATCTGAAGATTTTTAATGAATTAAAAACTAAAAAAAAGAGAAAAAACTAGGTAGACAGATATCTAGAGTGGAACCTCAACTTCAATGGTTACTAGCTAATATATAAAAACAACTATACAGTCTGTTTTTCTTTTTTGAAAATTTCTGGTTTCATGTTGATACATAATCTCAGATATTTATTAAAGTATTGGTAGATGACAACAGTATTGTGACCAAATTATTCTAGAAATAACAAACGTTATTTCTCTTATTCCAGCCTCTTGCTTTCCTAATTTGGAAGGTGATAGTATAGTCAAGACACAGGGCAAGCCTCCCACTGCAACCTCCCTTCTACCCATGCCCTCAGAGCAATTCAGCCCTTTGTATAGCCCCTCCACTCCAAATAGCTGCAATTCATTAATGGGAAATTGAGATTTCACCTAAAATTTTATGGAACAAGGGGGATGAATTATATTGGGGATCATGACTCTAATGTGACTTCACCCCCCGCCCCCACTGGACAATCTGTTCTTTCATCAAAACTCTCTTGGTAGCTCAAATCTGATCTTCTCTCCTCCTGCTCCATAGGTTTACACATCCTGACAGTTTGCTGCCATCCTTAGCAACTTCTTTAGTGCCCACCTTATCTGTTAGCCCATCCAGCATTGTAAAAGGCAGGTAGGGAGCCCAACCATGTCCAATTATTGAAAAACTAACTGCTTTATTTCTTCAGCCTTCAAATGGCATCCTGAGCAGGGTAGGGGCTGCCCTTGAACTCCAGCAGGTACAGTGTAACCATATGTAGCTACCTATGCTAAGATCACACATCTCCCACACTTGAACAACTTGGAAATCAGGCTAGCTTATAATCACCGTTGACCAGGTGGTGATCATAATAATGCTGGCATTGCCTACCCGGGCACCATAAAAAGCACAGCACCAAAACCCTGCAGGATGGATGTCAGCTCTTTATTCCCTAGAACCAGAGTTGTAGATTTGGGGTGAATCCAATATATTTAGCCACATTCTTGAAGCAGGTGTCCAAAGTAGACAAACTTGACATGATTATAAAGCTAGTTTATAGGACCAATGATTTTTAGTTTTTATGAATTATTTTAAGAAATGCTCTATTGTCCCAGCTGGTGTGGTTCTGTTGGTTGAACGTCACCCCACGCACTAAAAGGTCAGTGGTTCGATTCCCAGTCAGGGCACATTCCAAGGATGCTGGCTTGATCCCAAGTAGGGGGCATGCAGGAGGCAGCTGATCTCTCTCTCTCTCTCCTCTCTCTCCCCCTCCTTCCTCTCTCTCTCTAAAATCAAAGACATATTTAAAAAAAGAAACAACAACAAAAAAATGCTCCATCACCAACACAATTATTGACACAGAGAATAACACTGGGTGGAACAGAGACAACAACTGGGCAAAAAGGTGGCTCAGAAGTCAGATTTGAAGTTTTATGTCCTATACCAAACAAGCATTTGACGATTTCTCTCTGTATGTATACTAAAGTAATAAAAATCTAGGTCTAATAAAATCTAAGTTCTCCAATAAGATGTAAAATATGCCCTGGCCAGTGTGACTCAGTTGGTTGAGCATTGTCCCGTGCACCAAAATGTCACTGGTTCAATTCCTAGTCAGGGTACATACCTGGGTCACGAATTCGATCCTCATTTGGGGTAGAGAGGGTAGAAAGGCGCTACCCTTCACTAGTTACATCATCTTTGCTATCCTTAATTTCCTACAGATATACTTCTTACAGAAAAATAAATTGACAATTTTTTAAGATTTTTGTTAAAATCTCTTGAACACTATGAACATGGGATTAATAAATATATCAAATGTGTTTTATGTTCTGATGGGATAGAAAAGAGTACTTTTATTTTATTTTATTTATTTATTTATTTATTTTTAAACTGGAAAAATTTTATTATGATCTATGGATTAGATAACAGCATTATATCAATAGTATTTTTTTTAATTAATTTATCTTTGTTACAGATGTTTCTCTTTTTTCCCTGAAGACACCCTCCTCCCTATCCCACCCCCACCTGCATTGTTGTCTATGTCCACTGTTTATGCATACATGCATGTAAGTTCCTTGGTTTATCTCTTCCCTCCCCCCTAATCCCCTCCTCTGACATTTGTCAGTCTGAACCATACTGAAAAGAGTACTTTTAAATGGGAGATCATCTTTGATAATCTCTAAAATGTAATTTTTGGTCTCTAGTCAAAAAAATAATAGAAGCTCAGAAGTGATATTTAAATGAAATTTCATTAAACACAAACATCACATACTTCCACCTTCCCAGAAACAGTCACTTCATCTTAGTTAAGGAAATGGAAATTATTATGACTTAAGTCTTCATTCTGTGATATATGTGTTTGGACAAGTTTAGGCAAAGAGCAAAGATTTAGAAGCTCTACCACCAGACCAACAGCATTTTGAAAATGTTAAAGCCAACTCGATTCCCCATCCAGCAGTTCAATGTGAGCTGCCAAAATGTATCCAATAAGGCCTCGACTCTGGATAATCTAGGTCTCCTTGTGTCTATGACCTTGGGGTCAGTACTGTCTTCCCAGGATATACGAGCTCTTCCTCTGGGTCCTTCAGTTAGCTTGGGCAACTCTACTCTGGGAACCATGGAAGTTCAACATTGTTGTCACCAGTTCTGGAAGGTCAAAAACATGTTTCCATCCCCAGTCCTTCCGAGCATTGCTGTCATCAAAGTTCATTGGCCAACTATCCGCTAGGGAAAGACATGAAAGAGTAGCTTAAGTTTTCAGGCTCTAGGGTTGCAGAAAGGTCTAAAACACTTTATAATAAGGTCTATCATACAAGGTACCACAAAAGAAATCCCCTCTTTGAAACTCTCCCTTTGAGCAGACCAGAGCAGCTGTTATGCACGTACACAGTCGACCTCTTAGATTAGAAGATTGTATTATACATCTACTGTCAGGCACTGTGAATTGTCACACACTATTAAAATCCCATGCAAACTCGTAAGGTAGGAATCTTATACTCAAGGGTGCCCAGGGCCACAGAGTGGCCCAGTCACAGCATTTGAAAACCCAGAGCTGCCTCTATACTGTGTCTGCTTGTTTTATGTTGAAGCTGTAAGGTGGCGAAATGCAGACAAGCTGCTTATTTGGAATGAAACTATTCCACACACTTTAGATATCATTTCCCCAAACTGCAGCCTCTGCGGGCTTCGGCTCAACAGCTCCTTCTCCAGAATGTGTCAGGAGCCTCAGGAGGGCTCCATGCCCTACTATCCTACATGGGGTATGTCCTCAGGAGACTCAGTGCAGAATGAAGCTTAACTTTGGCTTTGAGGGGTTTGCAATGAAGTACCAACCTATGGCCTGTCGAACAGAATCCACGTTGTAGGTGATCTGGAATTGCGGTATGTGCTTGAGCACCTCCTGGGCCAGTTCCTCGGGGGAGAAGCTCATGGCACTGACATTGTAGGTCCTCAAGGAGAGGGACTCTGCCGGGGCCTCCATGACTTCCAGGGTGGCCCTGAGGCAGTCATCAATGTACATCATTGGCAGCCTTGTGCTGGGTTTCAAGTTGCACTCAAATTTGCCATTCTTTACAGCATCGTGGAAAATCTGGACTGCGTAGTCTGAAAGGGAATACTTTCTGTGGGTCTTCTCAGAACAAAATCGTGAATGAACCTCCTGGATTAAGGCAGTGGTTCTCAACCATCTTAGTCTCAGAACCTCGCTACACTCTTAAAAAAACACCAAGGACCTCCAACAAGGGGTTATTAATGGGAATTATATCAATATTTTCTATATCAGAAATTGAGAATTTTTTAATGTTACATTTTAAAATGGCAATAACAAACCATTATATATTCATATGTATATTCATCTTTTCCAAGCAAAAGAAAATGTAGCGAGAAGAATGGCATGTTTTATGCTTTGAAAATCTCTTAATAGGAGACAACTGATGTCCCCCATCTGCTTCTGCATTCAGTCTGCTGTGCGATCCCACATCACGTAGCCTCTGAAAACCTCCACATGCGCTTGGAAAGGAGAATGAAGAAAGCAAATAATGTCTTAGTATTGATATGAAAATAGTTTTGACCTCTTGGGCCCCTTGCAAAGGTCTTCGGGATACCCAGGGGTTCCCTGTACATACTTGGAGAAACATCACACTAAGGCAAAATCTTTTTATTATTTTTATTAATTGTTTTAACACTGAGTTGTTGTTCCACCTAGCTATGCATTCATTGGTTGATCCCTGTATGTGCCCTGACCAGGGATCAAACCCACAACTTTGACCTATTGGGACGACGCTCCAATCAACGGAACTCCCCAGCCAGGGCTAGGCAAAAATTTTTAAAAGCAACAAAAACCAAAGTCGCTTTCAAAATCTCTCGGATTTTGTCAAGTATCTTTTATCTTGTAGCTCAGGACCACTCATATGAGAAGGATTTCTAATGTAGGAGTTAAAAAATATAATGCGTGCCCTGGCCGGTTTGGCTCAGTGGTTGGAGTGTCGGTCTGTGGACCAGAGAGTCCCGGGTTCAGTTCCCGCTAGGAAACTTACTATTTACCAAAAATAAATAAATAAATAAATAAATAAATAAATAAATAAATAAATAAAATGCGTGCTTGAGTCCAAATTAATAATAATGACAATGACAATAATGCTTATGTTCCTATTAAACATGCAATGTGTACAGTCCATTTTAACAGAGCTTTCTGTATTAAGAAATGAAGCCTATATTCAAAGAAAGAGGCTATTTCTTACTTGGTGTCTTCCTACATTGTGGGTAACAAATTTGTTCTCAGATATTATCTGATTCCAGCACTGAATACCCAGTGACCTCCCGAGCTGGGTTTACAACACCAGCATACGCTGCTCTTAGCCAGTGTAAGTCAAGAGGGCTCAACGAGCTTCTCAGATGCACTTCCTGAAGAGGATGCAGAAACTCCAGTCGGCATACGGCTAAAAAGACAGCAGATCCATCACCACTACTCCCTATCTTATAGACAAAAGAAAACAGGAAACAACGCTTACCAGTTGTTCCTCCTCCAGGTTGGGAGTCAGCTGAAATGACGCCAGGATATCTCAGACATCGGAAATCTAACCCGTACCGGTAATGATAATACTACAAAAAAGAGAAAACTTACTTTAGAAAGAATCTTTTAAGTCAAATAGAGCAATGCAAAGAAATAACAGCCTTTTTTTGAACTATCACCCCATGCAGTAATATTAACATTCTCCTTAAGAAAAGGAAGACTCTAGAATTTCTACAAGACACTCATTTTTCTTTAACAAATAACTCTCCAGTTTTTATCTTCAAAGCATCATCATTCTGGGGCTACATCAACACGGTAAATACTAAATCCGCCTGCAGTAGGGATTTCCACACTTTCTTTGGAAGAGTCCCTGCTCATTGTCCTACACCATCTCCACAAGCAGTGCAGCACTAGGAAGAGCAGAGGGAGGACAAGTGGGTGACCAGAGAGCAACGACTGTAACACATCAGCTGGAGGATCAGACACCAACTAAGATCTGCTGTAGAGTCATAAAGACAGAGTATAAAAAATTAAACCAGCCTGGCCGGGTGGCTCAGTTGGTTGGAGCATTGTCCTGTACACCAAAAGGTTGTGGGTTCAATTCCTGGTCAGAACACATACTTAGATTGTGGGTTTGATCCCCAGTCGGGGCATGTATAAGAGGAAACCAATCATTGTTTCTCTCTCACATCAGTGTTTTTCTCTCTTGCTACCTTCATCTTTCTCTCAAAAAGAAAAGTCAATAAAAAACATATCCTCACATGAAGATTAAAAATAAATAAATAATAAATAAAAGCAAAACGATCTTTGAAGTTTTCCATAACACAAAGTTTTGAAGTTACCATCAATGGCCCTGGCCAGGTGGCTCCATTGGTTGGAGTGCTGTCCCGGTACACCAAAAGGCGGCAGGTTTGTTTTCTGCCACCTACGGCAGGCTACCAATGGATGCTTCTAACATCAATGTTTCTTTCTCTCTCTCTTCCTTCCTTGCTCTCTAACATCAATAAAACCATATCCTTGGGAGAGGATTTAAAAAATTAAATTATTTATTTGTTTATTTTATTTTTTAAATCCTCACTTGAGGATATTTTTTCCATTTATTTTCAGATAGAGTGGGATGGAGGGAGAGAGGCATCAATTGGTCGCCTCCCACGTGACTCCGACCAGGGCCAGGGATGGAACCACAACTGAGCTACGTGCCCTTGACCAGAATTGAACCTGCAACTCTTTGGTCCATGGGCCAACGCTCTAACTGCTGAGCCAAACCGGCCAGGGCAAAAAAAAATAAATGTATTTAAAGTTACCACCAATAACTACCAATGATGGGAGATAACTGGAACAAATAAAATGGGCAGCAAATGCCATGTTAGGGTTTTCTAGGAAGCGTTGAGTGGTACCATACGGCTGAGGGTCTGAGGAGTCCCAGAGCTATTGCCACCTGCACTTGGCAAACATAATCCGCATTTCTGGGAGCTGGGATGGGGGAAGGGGAAGTCCCCCACCCCCGCCCCCAAGGATAAATCAGCAGGTTTGAGGCAAAAGAATAGAAAAGGAAATACTGAGGCATCTTGTCAAGCCATGCGTACTTCTCCCATGAGTTCGGCGTGGACCTTGGACACCCCGTAGATCGTCCTGGGTCTCTGAGTGCAGAGATCGGGGGTTGGGTTCCGGGGAGAAGTGGGTCCGAAAGCTCCGATGGTGCTGGGCACAAACAATCGCAAATTGTGTTCCGCGGCAACGTCCAGCACATTATGCAATCCTGAAACAGACAGTGTCACGATCTGAATAACCTCTCAGTGAAGAACCAGAACAACGGACCAGCAGGTCATGCTGGGCAAGAGCCAGAGACTCACCAGTGATATTGACGGCCCTCGCCAAGGAGACGTTTGCTTCTCCCACTGCACTGAGCAAAGCGCTGTAATGAAACAACCAGGTGATGCGGTGGTTGACCACGCTCTCTCGAAGATTCTTGTAATCCAGAATGTCAGAGTAGATAAACGGGCCTACAGGGAACACGGTGAAACCACAGAAGTGAAGAGTTTGGGTTTTGAAAAGTTAAATGGTCTTCCCCACCCGCTGACTGTGAAGTCCATTAACACCAGCCTGGTAACCGAACCACTGGACACTATTCAGCGCTTTCCTTACGGAGGAGTCACCAACTACAGCCGCATCACAGTTGCTATTAGCTAATGCTTATACAGGACTTGGACTTGTTGGCACTGTTCTAAGGGCTTTCTGGATAGTTAGCTCTCACACAGTCATTGAGGCAGACACATTTTACAGACGAGGAAACTGAGGCACAGAGAGGTTAAGAACTTGCCAGGATCGAACAGAGAGAAAGTGAAAGATATTTGTTTACAACCAGGCAGCTGGCTCCAGTCAGCACTGTTCACACCAACTCTACACGGAGAGTGATTTCACTCTGCTTAAAACCTGCATATTTTTAAAGGGAGCGAGAAATGCATTTTAAAAACCAAATCAAAACCCCATGGTAGCCCTGGCCGGTTTGGCTCAGCGGTTAGAGCATCGGCCTGTGGTCCAAAGAGACCTGGGTTTGGTTCCTGCTAAGGGCATATACCTCGGTTGCAGTTTGTCCCCGGCCCTGGTTGGTCGTGCGGGTGGCAGCCACTCGATATGTTCCCTTTCACGTCGATGTTTCTCTCTCTCTCTCTCTCCCCCCCTCCCAGTCTACCTGAACAAAAAATTGAAAAATGTCCTCGGGTGAGGATTAAAAAAAAAACAAAACCCATGGTATAGAACAGTGATTTTCAACGGGTGTGCAGCGGCAGGCACACCGGAGTGCTGCAAGAATTTGTAAAACATGCAATAACTGACTATTTGGTCAGGGGCACTGACCTCTTTCCCTTAGACTGTCAAATTAAAAAATGACAACAGGCAACACAATAGCCATCTGGTGTGAATGAATCAAAATTATACCTAATTTGTTTTTTTTTTTGTTTTGTTTTGTTTTTGTCAGATCGCCAAAATATATATTTTTGATGTGCTAAGGTTGAAAATCACTGATATAGAAGAACCACAATTGGTGAGTTTATCATGCCCAGTTAAGTTATCCAATTTTTTCCACTTATTACCTCTCTTCCCCATTTTTAGCGGCAAAAGGGCAGTACTGAACCAGAAAAGACTAGAAGACATTGTAAAAACATTTCTGAGTTAGTGGAAAACTTGGCTAGAGGAGTTTGAGATTTGTGTCTGTGTGTGTGTGTACACAGTAGTTTAAGAACACGTCTATGTTGAAATATGAGGATTAATTTCCCCAAATTTTTAAAGTTGGTTTTCCTCATTACAGGATTTGGATGTTGCTTGCTCGCTCTCTGAGCCAAGAAGTTCTCAACAAACTCCAAAATAGACAGTGATCAAAGTTTTTACCCCAAAGATATGACTCCACATGATCGCCAAAGGTATTATTCCAAATTTTTACTTTACGCTCAGAACTCCTGTTCTTGTCACACTCGAACAAGGAGTAGTGTTACTATAGACATTTTACAGACCACCAAGGACAAACATGAGAAACATTTCTAGGAGACACACCTGCGCCTCAATAACGTCTCCTTCTCTAATTCACCTGGTTATGAGCTGCTGCTGCACACGCTGATTCCATGAACTGCTCCTCTAACTGCACTTTGGAAATTAAAGATAAAAGCAAAAGCAATGATCTCTTACCACTATGGAACACGCGATCAGAGGGTTTCCTTATGTCAGACAAAATCACATTGTCCTTCCCAAATTGTTTCCTGAAATCAATACACATGAGTTGGTACACCTAGGGTATAATTGTTTCCATGAAAACAATCTTTCCAATAGGAACTGTAATTCCCTGTCAGCCTCCGAATGCCTCCTTTCTTCATGCCTGTTCTCCTTCTTCCCAAATACACCCGCCCTCAGTTCTGACCACACTCAGGCCTCCCGCTCCCCTCTCTCGGCCCCAGCCCGTTCCCACTCTCACCCCGTAGCATCCCTGTATTTGCCACCAGTGTTTCCCTGTAGAGTTTTTACTTCTCCCTCCCCATTCTTCTCTTCTTATCCTTTCATCCCAATCTCTCCAAACCCCACACGATTCCTTGTCAGTTTCTATACATACTTCCCTCTGCCCCCAAACATCTAAAAGCCAAGCAGTTCGTTTGGAATTAAGCGAGAAAGTGAGAAAAGAGAGGGGCAAAGGACCAGTGTGGGAGATGCTGAGCCAAAGGACTGCCACAGCGTATGTGATGTTAAGAGGAAAAATGAAACGTATTCTACACAGCCACTTTAGATACGCCATCTTAAAAACAGGGAAGGAAAAGAGGGGAGAGAAAAGATTAAATGGTTAAAATGGAACCAAAGACAAACTTCCCATCCCGAAGAACTTGGATTTTATTTATTGATTTTTTTAATCCTCACCTGAGGACATTTTTCCATTTTTTGTTCAGGTAGAGAGTGGGAGGAAGAGAGAGGAAGGAAGAGAGAGAGAGAGAGAGAGAGAGAGATCGACGTGAAAGGGACACATCAAGTGTCTGCCACCTGCACGACCAACCAGGGAGGGACAAACCAACCAAGATACGTGCCCTTAGCGGGAACCGAACCCGGGTCTCTCTGGACCACAGGCCGACGCTCTAACTGCTGAGCCAAACCGGCCAGGGCAGAACTCGGATTTTAAATTTTAACTTTTAGGGCTCTTACCTCAACAGGTTAGCAAGCCCCACGCCAAGCTGGCCAAGACCCCCTAGATGAAGGGAAAAAAGGGAAAACTTTAATCCAAATCTAACCAATGCAATCATTCCCAGAATGTGATAATGGAATAAGACTATATTTATAATCTTAATTAAGTAAGGCCCCAGGTTGGCCTGATAGAATTGAACTACCTCCTCCAAGCGAGGACAGAAATCAGTACAGGTAATGTTAGTTTCAGAGACAAAGTTCTCTGCAGCACGAAGTGGCCAAAGGGAAGAAAGGGTGTAGGAAGACAAAAATCACAAGAAAGCCGGACAACCTCTTAGGTCCTTGGGCCAGAAATTTGTCCCCAGCCTTGCCTTTGTTATCTGATGGGCTCTGAAGCTTGTCTGCTACAGGAGCCAACATACTCAGAGAGAAATGTAATAGGTTGTATCGACCTCCAGTGGGACTTTCCAGAACCCCATCCTCCATCAGAACCACAATGGGGTGTGAAAAGGAGAAACGGGGAGAGGGACAAACCAAGAAGTCATCTGAAAAAAGAGGCAGATAACAGAATCGATGAGGAGACATTAAAATTGATAAAATGGCATTAAAAATGCCACAGATGGAAATGGGAGAGCTGGGGGTTGGGCTGAAGCACATTTGGGGGAACACAACCATACATTTCATTTGGGAGTAATGAATGAGGAAGGAAGATACAGAAAGTGGAAATTGTTTTTTTTTTTTTTTTTGAAGTTGATAAATAATGTTTTTATTTTTTTATTTTTGTTACAGATGTTTTTTCTTTTTTCCCTATTGACACCCTCTTCCCAATCCCATCCCCGCCCCCCAGCATTGTTGTCTATGTCCATGGTTACACATACATGCATATAAGTTCTGTGGTTTATCTCTTCACTTCCCCCCCTCCCTGTTCCCCTCTTCTGAGGTTTGTCAGTCTGTACCCTACTTCTATGACTCTGGGTCTATTTTGTTTATCAGCTTGTTTTGTTCATTATATTCCACAAATAGAGTGAGATCATGTGATACTTGTCTTTCTCTGATTGGCTTGTTTCACTTAGTATAATACTCTCTAGGTCCTTCCATGTCACCTCAAAGGATAAGAGATCTCTCTCTTTCTTAGCTGCATAGTATTTTATTGTGTATATGTACCACAGCTTTATCAGAAAGTGGGAATTCTTATAAGCACTGGTTAACTTGGGACTAAAAGCCAGGTCCACTGATGCTCACATGGGCTCTAGAAGATGCTTTGTTCACGGAAGTAGGAGGGAATAAAACAACAGGAAACAAGCTGAGCGAATCAGGGAGGAAAGTGCAGAGGGGACCCACTGCATTTGAAAGCCATTCCCAACGGGAGAAGGAAGTGTCACAAGGATCATGACTGGAAGCCAAGGGAAGAAGAGCTGGCCGGAATGAATTAAAACATGTCAATCAGAGGTGGGCTTGGATTGGCTGCAGATATGTGGGAGTGAAGTTTGGAGGGAGGCAGATACAGAATCAGGCGCTGGGTGTACAAGAGGTAAGGAGGATTGGGGAGCCAGGCTGGTGATGATGAGATCGATGGCAACATGAGATAATGGGGCCGAGTTCCTCCAGGCAGTTCCTGACTTATCGTCTCTGTCTCCAACACACAGATGTGTGTAGCAACTGCTTGGGATGAATGACAACGAGTTTAGTTGAAGAGTTTGGCCAAGAAAAGATGCTCCTGATTCCAGAATCCATGCTCTCGTCCCCACACTCCCCCTCTCCATGAGCCTTTGGTCCCAAGCTGACCCTAATAAGGCAGCGAAACTGAGATCCACAGCAGCTTTGGGGCCCCAGTGTCCTAGGCCCTCCTTCAGACAGTTAAAAACAGGGCAGGGAAACCCAGAGATGGTAACAGTGACAAAATAAAGATTTGAGACTTGCACTATTCTGGGGGACACCAAGAGTACAAAAGGTAGTTTCTGATTAGTAAATGTTAGCTGATAGCATGTCAGACATTCCAAAAACGAATACACAACCACACAGATGCACAGAAAGTAGACTAATCAAACCACACACTCCACCTGTAATTAAGACACGTGGCCGGTCTGTTTCGGAGGAAGAGGCAGAGTGAAAGCTGGCATCTGCTGGACTTTGCCAAGGGGAGGTGCCCAGGGCCCGGCCGGGCAGGGCCGCCATCCCACAGCCACAGGCAGGGCCCTGCCCCATCTGGCCCACAACTCTCCACAGCGTCCTAACAGCCGGCATTGTCTCTTCAAATACCCTGCCAGGAAAAAGGAGCAGGGTTAATTATAGAACCTATATTCTCCAAACCCTCATAATATAAACTCTTTAACCAAAATTAACATGAAGATTGTCAGCTCACAGGCAAAGCCGTGTTTTGGATTCATGAACCGAACTAAAGCGATTGCTGAGTGTGCCAGTCAAGAGCCTGCTGGGAGTCGGCCCCATGGAAAGGGGATAAACCACTCCCCACGCAGAGTGCAGGCAAACAAAGGCTGGACAGAGAGTTAGAATCGGAACTGCACAATGCCGACATCAACCAGGCTCAAATGTCACAGTGGGGGTTACTTTATACAGAGCCACACACCAGAAACACCAAGTCAGTGGGTCCTAGAGAAGGCTTTAACTCGTTTGTGTTTTTTTTTAAATTATTTATTTATTTATTTTTGTTATAGATGGTTATTTTTCCCCCATTGACACCCTCCTCCAATCCTGCACCCCACTACCCCAGCAGTATTGTCTATGTCCTTGTCTATGCATACATGCGTAAAAGTTCTGTGGTTTATCTCTTCCCTCCCCCCACATCCACCTCTTCTGAGGTTTGTCAGTCTGCACCCCACTTCCATGGCTCTGGGTCTATTTTGTTCCTCAGTTTGTTTTGTTCATTATATTCCACAGATAATTGGGATCATGTGATATTTGTCTTTCTCTGACTGGCTTGTTTCACTTAGGATAATACTCTGCAGGTCCCTCCATGTCATCTCAAAGGATAAGAGATCTTTCTTTCTTACAGCTGCATAGTACTCCATTGTGTATATGTACTACAGCTTTTTTATCCACTCATCTACTGATGGACACTTGGGCTGTTTCCAGATCTTAGCAATTGTAAATTGCACTGTTATGAACATCGGGGTACAAATATTCTTTCTGATTGGTGTTTCAGGCTTCTTAGGGTATATTCCTAGAAGTGGGATCACTGGGTCAAATGGCAGTTCAATTTTTAATTTTTTGAGGAAACACCATATTGTTTTCCATAGCGGCTGCACGAGTCTGCATTCCCACCAGCAGTGTACTAGAGTCCCCTTTTCTCCACACCCTCACCAACACTTGTTTGATGATATGTTGATGGCAACGGCATTAACTCTTAACAAGTGTTACCAGTCTGCCTGGGCACCATCAGAGAGCACAGATAAGTCCCAGGTTAAATAACATGGTGCCCTGCAACACTCAGATGTTATCTTGAGAATGAACCGGACTAGAAAAGCAGACGGTTGGGATAAAAAGCCCCCCCACCCCAGCAATATTCAGTAAACTGTGACTAATTTCTGTTTAATGGCATCCTTTTAGAAAGGATCCTTCAGAAAAACCATTTTCTCCTTTCTTCTCAGATCATGTATATTTTATTTCAGTCTGGCTCCTCCTTTTCCTCAGCTTTAGCGTTGACTGACCGTGAAATCAGTTCTAGCCTAAAATCATGGTCCAGCCACACATGGATTAAAACTGGACAATGGGCTCCTATTTTCCCCGCTCCATCCCCAACACCTGGGCATGTTCCAGGAGTACATCAGAGCTGCACAGCTTGCTCTGCTGGTTCTAACAGCAAACTTCTCACCTGCTGGCATCAGGCCTATTGCCCTTCAGGTAGAGCCCTGTGGCCTCTACTTCCCTCAGTTGTGAGACTCCCAACAGAACAGGCAGATGAACCCTCCGAGCCCACTCTGGTGCCTCACCTCAAAAGAGATAACCCAGATCTCAACCATCTTTTACTGTACACCACGAAAGGAGAACAGGTAACCACAGATGAAGATGTTTCCTGTTTACGATCTGAATTTAGCCGACTGACACACTCAACTCGATACCTTGAGTGTATAACAGTAATTTTAAATGAAAATGCCCAAGATAGCAGCTTTCTTGTCATCCCTCAAGTCCACATTATAGAAAACAAAAAATATATAATTTTCTGAAAACATATGCTTTAACATTCTTCTATGAGCCGTGGTGGTTTAGTTCTTCAGGACATTGAAATAAGAGGGTAGAACCCTGGGGACTTCTGCCAGATCAGCGGCTTGGCCCACCAGGTCCCCAGCATCAGATATAGCCCTACAAAGCTCCTGAGGCCCTTCGTCCCAGCTAACTTTCCCAAACAAGCAGAAGAGAACCCTGTGCTGGTGCAGCTCGGGCTCCATGCGCAGGGTCAGGACTGGAAGGGAGGCACCCAGAGTGTGCCATGTTACAGAAAAGGCCCAAGCTTCTCTTCAAGCATCTCTCAGAAAACCTTTGGGGAGATCATCCTTGCAGCCAGGGTTGACACCTGAGACTTGGTAAGAACTCGGATTCTCTACGTCACTTATTTCAGCAAGTTCAGATGATCATGAGGAAGCCAAGAAGTTAGATCTACCAGAACACTTGCAACTCAAAGATGATTTTCAATTCCAAAAGCAAAGTAATAAATGGACACACTTGCAAAGGTATTTTGTTTTTTTCTGAGATTGAGGAGACTGCAGTCAGGGAAAAGGCAAGCTCCAAAAATATGAAATAGGTACAAGGGGAAAGAATGAAGGAGGCACAAATTCCCAGCTGAATAAGCATTTTTGCTTAATAATGTGGACAACTCAGAACTGAGTTTTCTTCCTACTTCACTACTATTAACAGCTAACATTTGATGCTCACTCTGTGTTACAGGAGCGGAGAATGCTTTCCTGCACTATCAAAGTTAACCATGGCAGCCACTACCCTTCTTGAACCCAGCTCTTAACCACCAAGCAGCACTCCTGCCCCTATTATGGGATTGCTTTGATTAACAATGCATGGCCTTGCCAAGCTGGTGTGGCTCAGAGATTGAGCGTTGTCCCATGGACTGAGAGGTTGGGGTTCAATTCCCAGTCAGGGCACATGCAAGCTCGATCTCCAGTAGGGGGCTCCAGTGGAGCAATGGTTCTCTCTCACATCAATGTTTCTCTCTCTCTCCCTCTCTTCCCCTCTTTCTCTAAAAAGAACACACACAATAAAAACATAAAAAAAAAAAAAGAGAGAGAGAGAGTGTGGCCTTTAAAAGCAAAAGTAAAGCCCTGGCCAGTTTGGCTCAGTGGTTGGAGCATCAGCCTGCAGACCAGATAGTTCAGGGTTCGGTTCCTGCTAGGGGCACATACCAAAAATAAAAATAAAATAAAAGCAAAAGTAAAACAAAACACTCCCAACCACCTACAGCACATAGCTTTCCTAAATCAAGAGTATATTGCTACCTCCAAGTTCAAGTAATACTCTTAAGGCAGCTGTTCTCAAGTTCTCTGGTCTTTGGACTCCTTTACCCTCTTGAAAACTGAGGACTACAAAGAGCTTTGTTCATGTGGTTTATATCTAAGAACGTGTGCTGTATTAGAAAGCAAAACGGAGAAATGTTTAACATCTAAATTCATTTAAAACCAAATAACATAAGCATGTTTTTTGTGTGTGTGAAAGCAATTAAAAAAAAAAAAAAAAAGAGTGCCACGGTTTACATTTTGTACATCTCTTTGATGTCTGCCTTAACAGAAACCAGCTGTATTCTCGCATCTGCTTTTACACTTAATCTGTTTGTTGCTTTGACTGAAGTATGTGAAGAAAATCGAAACTCATGCAGCAAATGGGAAAAGGAAGTGGCATTTTAAAAGCCTTTTCAGGTCATTCTAGAAACTCATTTTTAATATCCCAAACTCAACACATGGTAATTTCTTAAAGATTAGTTGCCATGCAGAACCTGAAGCTTTATCAATGAACATTTCAGAATCTGTTACATTAAAACCCACTGGTCTATGTAATGCTTTGAATGGATTTTTTACCCTGCATGGTTTTGTAATTTAATGCATAGGTCTTTTGGAAAATATAGGTTCAGTGATTTATGCAGAGCTTCCAAATGTTAATACACTTCACTCTACAGTATCAAAGTCATACTGGCTATTCCTAAGTACTGGTAAGGTATCAAGCTCACAGTGGTGGATACAAATTAATTAGCAACAAATACCATTAGTTTTTTTCCTTGAAGTCACAGGGTCACTTCATTCATTTGTTTTATGGGGTTAGAAAATGTATTCTAATTATCCAGGTATGAATAACCATAGTTTGTCTGTCATTCTTTGAAGCAAAAATGATTCTCTACTAAAAAAAAAAAAAAAGACCTGGAGAGTATTATCCTAAGCTAAACAAACCAATCAGAGAAAGACAAATATCACATGATCTCATTTATTTGTGGTATATAATGAACAAAACACACTGATGAACAAAATAGACTCAGAGACATTGTAGTAGGGCACAGACTGACAAACCTCAGAAGGGAGTTGGAGGGGAGGGGGAAGAAATAAAACACAGAACTTATATGCAGGTATGCATAACCATGGACATGGACAACCATGCTGGGGACGGGTGCGGGGGTGGGATTGAGAGGAGGGAGTCAATGGGGGAAAAAAGAGAAACATGTGTAACAAAAATAAATTAATTAAAATAAATTAATTAATAAAAAGTAGCCAGCCCTGGCCAGGTAGCTCATTTGGTTAGAGCATCATCCCAATACTCTAAGGTAGCAGGTTCGATCCCCAGTCTGGGCACATATGAGAATCAACCACTGAATGCATAAATAAGTGGAATGACAAATTGATGTTTCCCTCTCTCGCAAATCAATAAATATATATATATATTTTTAAGTGGCCATTTCAGTTCACAGCCCAGTCACAAATGCTTCACCTCAAGACAGCCATCATGCTCCAATATGGAACAAGTGCCTCCATTCACTGCAAGGCACACTAAAAAGGCATGCCCTCAACAGTCAAGATTTAATAAAATTCATAATTTTTACTGTTTCATAAAGGGCATTCTTAAGTAAAGATGACAATTTTTTTCTTTTTCATCAAAAGCACATGAAGAATACCATGTCTACTAGTACAGTTTGATGCCACGGCCTCAATTTGTGCAAAGGCACCAATAGTTTTAACCAGCACTGCTTTTGCACCATCAGCGCCAAGTCAACATAGTTTATTTCAAAATGAACCATGAAATTTAAGTTATTCTACACTGACTACTTTGGCCTTACTTGTGTTTGCTTCCAAGCATGCACTAAGATGATTTTCTTTGATGACTGGTGTGGTGCTAATACCAGATGAATAAAAACAAAATGCCCACCCTGCCAGTGTGGCTCACTGGTTGAGCACTGACCCATGCATCAAGAGGTCATCAGTTTGATTCCCAGCCATGGCACATGTCCAGGTTGTAGGCCTGATCCCCAGTTGGAGGCATGCAGGAGGCGGCCAATCAATGTTCTCTCTCATCGATGTTTCTCTTTCTCTCCCCCTCTCCCTTCCTCTCTCTCTAAAATAAATTTTTAAAAAATATTTTTAAAAAAATTTTTTAAAAAGACCAATCCAGCCATGACTACAAATTCTCCCATTAGCAAAAGTACGCTTCTGCTATTAAAATACTAACTCAGTCTTCATGTTCACAGCACTTTTTTTTATCCTCACTCGGGGATATATTTATTGATTTTCGAGAGAAAAAGAGAAACATCAACAGGAGAGAGAAACATCAGTCAGTTGCCTCTCATACCCACTCGGACCAGGCATCAAGCCCACAACCTTTTGGTGTATGGGACAACACTCCAACCAACTGAGCCACACTGGCCAGGGCTGCCTTTATGTTCTCTTCCAGTCTCAGGGGTCTCTAGGAATGGTCAGCTGCTCCAAGCTTCATTCCTTGTCCTCAACGTGAGGCTTGCTGCTCTGCACTCAATGAAATGGCTTTCACAAAAGGTCAGCCATTGCCTAGTTGATAACTTCTCAGGCCAGCACCCTCTCCCACTTCTAAAGGACACTGCTGACCAGGTTCACCTTCATTTCCCCTGGATTCTCCCCCTTCTTATTCTGTTGTAAAAATCAATAATGCTTATAGCCCTGGTCGGTTTGGCTCAGCAGTTAGAGCATCGGCCTGCGGTCCAGAGACCCTGGTTCGGTTCCCACTAAGGGCACGTACCTCAGTTGCAGTTTGTCCCTCGCCCTGGTTGGGTCATGCGGGAGGCAGCCACTCGATATGTTCCTTTCATGTCGATCTCTCTCTCTCTCTCTCTCTCTCTCTCTCTCTCTTCTCTCTCTCTCTCTCTTCCTCTCTCTTCCTCTCTTTCCCTCCCACTCTACCTGAACAAAAAATGGATAAATGTCCTCGGGTGAGGATAATAATAATAATGCTTATAAAACACATTTGCAAGGCAGTTTCAGCTTTAAATCTTCTGGTTCATTAAACAATAATATATGTTTCTTCTCAACAGTAACAACCCAAGGCAAAATCAGGCACCTCCTAACTGCTAGGGTTGACAAGGACCTGCTTTCCTGAGCTCTTACCTTTTACAATAACCCTGAAGCTGGGTTCTTGACTCCGTTTCACAGGATGAACTGACCCACCCTAGGTCAGGAAGATACTAATTAGCAAGAGAAGGGGGGAGGAAACCAGTTTCGTTGAGTTTCAAACCCTTCTTCCACCACTCCCACTTTTCTCCCTCAAAGAAGAGATGCGATCAGGTAGGTACCTAAGAGAGAAGGCGGCTGGTTGTGCAGGGGGCAACTTCCCGCCCGGGCCCCTCTGGCGTGGCTCTTCCCCACCCCGGAGGAGACCACTGAACCAGCCTGGGGGGTTCACAGCCAGGCACCGCACGCATATGCTTGTGTGAGCCTGCGTACACTACTATGCCAAACCTCAAGTTTCTCCATCCATGGAAAGGGGGACAATAATAGGGCCACCGAGTTAGATAGTTGAAAGAATTGAACCGTTTTGCTCAGTCAATGTAAAGACTCCATTACGAGCTGGTAAAGCCTGGACTTGGTGGGGATGATCCTAAAAAATCCCGGAGCTCTAAGCATGGGCTACATAGAGTCTCAGAAAGAGGTCTGGCTCTGAGGAGCAGGTGTCGCTCTCCTCCCGTGCACACCCGCCTAGAGGAGGGAACCCAAGAGGACGGGTGACTTGAGCCGCACTTGGGTCTCTAGCCTCTGCATGGCTCCCGGTAAAATGGCTGTAGGATCCCACCCTCCCGGGGAGATAACTGGATAAACCGGTTTTATGAGAACAGCGGCGCCCGCCACTATTCAGGGAGAGGGGGGAGAAAGGAGGGGGACAAGGGGCACCTTTCCAAAACGTGGAAGGGGCAGGGTGTCGCGCCCTGCGGACCCTGGCAGAACCGGGGCGCCCCCTCCAGCCCTGGCGCTGACCTCCCTCCCAGCTCCACGGTGACCGCTGGGGATCGGTGCTCAGCACCGGAGCGCAAAGTCAGCTGCGCAGCACCCGAGGCACACCGATTCGGCCAGCCGGGGCTAGGGGGGCCCCGCGACGGCCTCCGCTCCCCAAGGCAGCCACCGAGGGAACCTCCGGTCATCTCCAGTCACTGTCCGCACTGACCTTAGTATGAGGTCGCCCAGAGATGCTGCGCTGAGACGCTGGAACTGGAGCTGAAACTGGAACTGGAGCTGAAACCCCTCGTGTCAAGGAGCCGAAGCACGGCGAAGGGAAAGCCCAAAGGGTGCCCAGCACACCGCACCTTTATTCTCTCGATGCTCAAACCCGCCCCCCGGTGCACCAATCGCTGTCTTCGGCCAGGGCCGCCCGACGTCTGCGCGGAACACCTGAGGGTGGGGCTTGAGGAGGAGGACAGCTCGGTGGAGACGGCAGCCCTCTCCCTGCGGGTCCCCTCCGGTTCCTGGCCTTGCGCCCCTGCCACGCTGCCTCTGCCTGGGACATACCTCGTGGAGAATTCGGGGACCGTGAGGAGCGCGGTAGAGTGCCCTCGCCTGCCCATCTTCGCGTGGGCACCATCAGGGTGAGGGCAGCTTTGAAAGGAAACCAGCCTCTTTGCAACCCCCAGAGAACCCACTGGCGTTGGCATTTCGTCGCTCTGCAGTGGACTTGGGAAGAATGTGGACGCAGAAGAAAAAGTTGAAAAAGGTAGCTGAGAAAAAATCCTGAGACAGAAGGACAGGAGTCAGGAGGTGGGATATGGAGAGACCTTGAGTGAGTCACTTCATCTTTGTTCCCCACGTGGGAAACATCACTGTCAAATTGACCTCCAAAGCCAGGGACCAGCCGAGTTTGCATCACCTGGGAGCTTGTGAGAAATGCAAATTTGAGATCCCCCACCCCAGACCTGTGAGTCAGAAGTGGAGGGGAGCGTGGTGTTTGAACAAAACCTCCAGGTGATGCTGATGCGCGCTGAAGTTTGAGAAGCCCGAGCGAGGGCACTGGTTCTCAGACCTCACTTCCTTTACGTATTTCCAGGGAGTTTCTGAACCTCCCAATGCCCAGGCTGCACTCAAGACCTAGTAAATCAGAATCTTGTTGTAGGGTGGGGAGCCCAGTCATAAATATATTTTAAAGTTCTTGAACGGATTCCAACTTGCTGTCAAAGCTGAGAACCACCCATCTTCCCTAGAGGCTTGGTACACAAGCCTGAACAAAGCAGTCCCCACTCAAATCTACTGAATCAAAATTTGCGTTTTAACAAGACTCCCAGATGATTCTCATGCATGTTAGGCTTTTGGAAAAGAGCTCCAAGTTCTTTAACATTAAGAATCTATAGTTTTATGAAATATGTCTAACTTTATGTTTTTTCGGGCTCTTAGGAGCCCCCATTTCTTCATTTTTCTCATATGACATGATTCTCATTATGGGTCTTCCTTGGGTGCACTTGAATTTTGAAATCTTAATTACAAACTTGTAGCCTCTCAAGAGACCTTAGAGATTATCAAGGCCACTTAGACCCACTTAGCAGTGGAAGAGGTGCCCCACCCAGAGCTATGAAGTATTTGGTCAAGGTCAGGGGGACCAGAATGCTGACCTAGGCACTGGGTCCCTGCCCTTTCTAATACACCACATCATATCATGAGGAGTATTTTTTTGTTTTGTTTTCTTCAAACTTTGTGATGGAGTCAGAGATCACATTGAGTTTACTCTGAATGGGGTTGCAGGCAGGTATTTTGCCAAGTGGAGCAACCCACTGACATTGCTCCTGGTTTGGTTGATTGTGGGGAGGAGAGGAAGTGTGGCTTCAATATATTTATTCCTGAGGACAGGGCAAGGAGAAGGATTGATTTCCAAGGGGCTGACAGGTGGAAGGTTTACAGCTACCTAACATCTATTTCCTCTCTTCCCTGTGGAAATAGTTTGGCATAAATATCATCGGCCCTCTGCCTCTCCCTGCCAAGGGCAGACACTTCCTTCCAGACTTGTATCCTGATTGGAATGAAGCAGAGGCCCTCCAAAATCAGCCCTGCCCAGGGCCACTGCCTTGGGCTTCCTGGCTCCGAGACTGCCTTGGGTTCCTGCCCCTTTCCAGGCTGGTTCTCCCGTCTTCCCCAGCAGTCTGTGTCTTCCTCATATCCTTTGAAAGGCAGCTATGCTCTCCACTATACCACCAATGCCTTTACATTTTTTTCCCCTTTAAAGTAGAGGGAAGAGAAATAGAAACATCGATGAGAGAGAGCATCGTTTGGCTGCCCCTTGCATGCCCCCAACTGGCGATTTGGCCCACAATCCAGACCTGGAATTGAACCAGTGACCTCTTGGTGCATGGGTTGATGCTCAACCACTGAGCTACATCGGCCAGGCCTCATCCTTTGGCTTAAGCCAGCAAAGTAGGTTTCTGTTTAGTGATAATATTCAGACTTTCCCTTCACTTTCAGGATCGAGGTTCTGGAAATAGGAAAATTTTCTGAACATAAATTCCTAAACAGAGCACTTCCAAAGGCAGTGTTTAAGATATCTGTATGGGTAGTTAAGAAAGAATAAACAACACATGCAAATTCCATGCTTTAATTTCAGGATCCCACAGTGATTTTTTATTTTATTTATTTATTTTGTTAATCCTCACACAAGCATAATTTTTTCCATTTATTTTTAGAGAGATTGGAAGGGAGGGAAGGTGGGAGGAAGGGAGAGAGAGAGAGAGACACAGACAGACATCGATGTGAGTTGCCTCCCAAACACATCCCAACAGGGCTGGGGATTGAACCTGAAACCCAGATATGTGCCCTTGACTGGAAATCAAACCTGAGACCCTTTGGTGCGAAAGCTGACACTCTAACCACTGAGCAACACCTACCAGGGCCCACAGTGATTTTATCTAAAATATGAAGAGTGAGGTTTTTTTCTATGTAGAGTAAAATAGGTTTGCCTGGATATGGACTTGTGCCTAGAAGAAATAATGGTTGAGTCTCAGAGAACAAGAAAGTTAATGACATCACCAGCCCACAACTTCTGCTCTAGTTACACAAAAGAGGACCAGGGCTCCCCTTCCAGCTGCAGGAGTATTTGGTTGAGAACTACACTGTCCCATAGCCACTCCCCACATGTGGCTACTGAACACTTGCCATGTGATTAGTCAGAATTGAGATGTGCCGTGAAGGTGGAGTAAGATAAAATATGAAAAAAACTAATGTAAAAGATCTCAATGTATTTTATTGGGTATGGGCTAATAAGATAATATTTTGAATATGTTAGGTTAAATAAAATATATCACAATTAATGTCGCCTGTTTCCTTTTACTCCTTTGATTATAGTTAGTAGAAAAACTTAAATTACACATGTGGCTCATATCTGTGGCTCACAATCTATTTCTATAGCACAGCGCTAGCCCGGAAATTCTCAGAGAAGGCTCTGTGGGCTATAGGCAGCGTCTCCTTCTCCCATTTGTAAAAGGCCAGCTCAAGGCCTCAGGATTCCTTATATCCCTGACATTTTCCACATTCTATTAGATGTGTGGATGAAAAGGGGGTTCTACAGAAATCTCACAGCGTGATCTGATCATAAATTCCTAACTGGGCAGGTCATGGTGGATCATCATGTCCCAGACATATAATTTCTTTACTAAAAGGCTTGTCTTGGTGTTAAGCAAGCCTTGTCCATTGTTTCTGTGCATCTAGGTTAATATACTTTTGAAATGCCACCCTTTCTGACCCCTTCTTCCAATACCTGACCACCCTTTCAGACATCTCCTTCCAAGAGCTGATGCCTCCCTGCCTTGCTTTCTCCCACTTTCATGTAAACTTCCTTACATTCTCTCCTTAAAATACATAAAAGAAACTGCAAACTGTTATTCTCAGAGGCATTTTTATGTCTGTTGAGATCTTGCTTCCAGGCATATCTTCAGTTCGACTCAGATAAATTTTTATAAAACTTCTCTACAGGCTTGGACATTCTTTTTTTTTTTAAAAAAAGAAAGAGAGGAAGGGAGAGGGAGAGAGAGACAGAAACATCAATGAGAGAGAACATCGAATGGCCACCTCCTGCATGCCCCCACTGGGGATCGGGCCCACAACCTGGGCATGTGCCCTGATCAGGAATTGAACCAGCGACCTCTTGGTGCATGGGTCGATGCTCAACCACTGAGCCATACTGGCCGGGCTTGGACATTCTTAGGTCAACAGATGAAAGCAGTGCTGGTGGCATTAAAAAAATAAATCAACTTCCAGGCAAGATGGCGGCATAAGTAAACGCGGTATCGCATCCTCCCACAACCACATCAAAGTCACAACTAAACTACAGAGCAACCATCATTCAAAACCGCCTGAAATCAAGCTGAATGGAAGTCCTACAACTATGGAATTAAAGAAGCAGCCACATAGAGACTGGTAAAAAGGCGGAGGTGGACAGGCTGGTGTGGCGAATAAAAATCAGGAGGACACCTCGGCTGGGAAGGTCCTCCCTGAGGACTGAGGGGTCCCCGTTCCACACTAGGTGCCCCGCTCAGGGTTCCAGTCACAGGAAGAGAAGTCCCTATCACTTCTGGTGGGAAAAACCAGTGGGAACTGAGGCTGAGGGAGGCTGAGGAAGCTGGAGCCCCAGGCAGCGTGTCTTAAAGGGCCCGCACATGGACTTATCGAACTTGCTCCCTCTAAGCTTGGAGGGGAGGCAGCTCGAGGGGCACCAGAGACATACGGGGAAGAACTGAGCTGTTTGGCACTGGAGCGAGGGCTAGAGAGGGGGCTTTCTCCTGGACAGACATGCTCTCAGAGGCCTTTGTTCCTTTGGTGAGCCCTTCCCTGGGGCGGCAGACAGCCGCCATATCTGGGACTCCAGCAACCTGGCTCACACTGGTAGCCCCGCCCTGCTGACTCCCTGAGGCCCCGCCCCACCCAACTTTCAAGCCCACCCAAGCTGTTGCCAGTTGGTTAACTATAGGATTGGCCTGTCTTGGATCCTGCTTCAGGTTTTCCTAAATTCTTTCAAACAAGCAGCCTCTGGTCTCAGCAGGCCCCATACCTCTCGTTAAGAAATACATAGAAACAAACACAGGGAGGCAACCAAAATGAGGAGACAAAGAAACAGGACCCAAATGAAAGAACAGAACAATACCCCAGGAAAAGAACTAAGCAAAATAGAGATAAGCAACCTAACAGATGCTGAGTTCAAAACACTGCTTATAAGGATGCTCAATGAACTTAGTGAGAACCTCAGTGAACTAAGTGAGGGCCTCAAGAGCATAAAAAAGGACCAGTCACAAATGAAAGATGCATAGTCAGAGATGAAGGAGG